TATATTTGATGGTTGGACCACAAATAGCTATCCCTATATGGCGCCATTGAGTTTTGACAATGTGTTTTCCGTAGATTTCGTTGTGTGGCTTCGGCAAATAGCAGAACACCAAGTAGCTACTGCACTTGTTTCCCAAGAAGCCTTCCCGGCTCTTGAGGCCGACGAAGAACCCTTCGATCAGGTGGAAGAACCGCGCGATTTCGCTTTGATGGACCCCTCCGAGGAGGCCATCGAGGAAGAAACTCGCCTCGACAACGTCGATTTGCGAGGATTACCCATAGAGGAATCCGAGCGTCGCGCGAAATGGCGAGCGGTGCCACAGCGGATACGCATAGCGATCCGACGGCTACATCGCCAATTCGGCCATTGCCCTAAGAAGGTTCTAGTTAATCTCTTAAGGACCGCTAGAATCGATAAGTCGTATATAGAGGCGGCTCAATTTCATAGGTGCAATGAGTGCGAAGACGCACAGCCTCGTAGAAACGCACACACCGTATCCATGCCGGAACGGTATTCCTTTAATCACGCCCTAGGTATTGATATCTTTGAATGCTTAGATGCACAAGGCACTAAGTACCAAGTTATGAATATGGTGTGTTTAGGAACGTGTTTTCAGCTTGCAGAGACCGTACGCGTAGGCGACGGGTTGCCTTCATCAGCCCGGTGTCTAGAGGCCATCCAACGCCGTTGGACAGCATGGGCTGGTATGCCGGCGATTATACGGTGCGACCGTGGTCTACATAATCGCGGGGTACTAGCGCAGTTCTGCGCGGCTCATGGCATCCAAGTACACCACGCGCCATTAGAAACACCCGAGTCGATTGGCCGAGTGGAACGCCACGGCGGGATCCTGAAAGCGATGACTAGAAAGGTAGTATCGCAAACACAGGCCGTAGGCGAAGTGGCATTACAGACAGTCTTGGATGAGTGTTGCCTCACCAAGAATAGCATGCTGAGACATGGAGGTTACTCCCCATCTCAGTGGGTACTCGGGAAGACGCCGCGGGGACCTCCATCCTTAGTAGAGGAGGATAACACCGCCGACCTTGGATCGTTAAACGACCAAGTTGATCCCGAGAGCCGTTTTGCCCTAATCCATCAAGCTCGGGCTGAGGCCAAGAAGGCTTTTGTCCATTTGGACACCTCGAAACGCGTGCAGCGTGCACTTCTCAGGAATGCGAAACCGCTGCCGTACACGTACTCGGTAGGAGACGTGGTTTGCTTTAGGCGGGATAAAACAGGTAAAACTGTTTGGTCTACCGCGTCTAGAGTAATCGGTTTTGAGGGTAGCCAGAACGAGAGCGTGTGGGTTTTGTGTCAGAACGTACCGGTTCTAGTGTCCGCACAGAATCTTAGGCCTGCGCAAGATGCCGAGGCACTTGCACACGCAGTTCTCCAAGGGGAACCCGTGCTGCCAGAAGAACTGGTGCGCGGACAGCAACACTTCGAGGATCTCAGAGATGCACCTGGTGGTGACATCGATGATGAGGAGCCCGAAGAAGGACCTTCGGAAGGTACACCTCAAGAGGAAGTCGAAGAACCATCCTATGGTCTTCTGGACGGCCCAGGACCACTCTCATCAATCTTCGAGGATGAGGAGATGAATGAGCAACCAGAGCGACCGGAGAGAGGTAGATCTAGATCACCTCCACCAGCGTCATCTTCGAGATCTCGACGGGTCAGTACAGCTGAACCCGAGGCAGAAAGAACCCCTAATCCTAGCAGGAGAGGAAGCAGATCAGACCTCCTGGACGATCTGCCGGCTCCTATTAGGTCACGTTTTGAGGAACGTAGACACGAGGAGGAAGCAAACGTGAGTATTCGACAGAAACTCCGTGGCTTTTGGTCTAACCGGTTCTCTTCCAGAGAACAGGTTGAGCAGGAGCTCAAGGACCTCCCCGAGGCCTTGAAATACTGGGAATGCACCCCAGCAGTCCGCCTGCGGATCGATGGATCACGCGCTAAGGAATGGAAGAAATATGAGGACTTTCAAGCGGCAATTCCGCTGAAAGGAGCGCAGCTTAAGGAACTATTAGACGCCGGTCATACGCCGATACCATCTAAATGGGTCGACACTATTAAGAACTATCATGAACGTCTTAAGCCGGATTATGAACCTGAGTTCAAATCCAGACTGGTGTCCTGTGGAAATTTTGAAGATTCCACAGAGGTTCGCACGGACGCGCCAGCCTCAGACCTCGAAACGCATGGCCTAGTATCAGCGTTCGCCGCATCCAATGGAGTCCCTGTAGAATCGTCAGATATTCGCAACGCCTACTTTCAGGCCGAGCCAATAGACAGGGTTGTACTTATGAGACAACCTGGCGGAGGACTTCCAGGAGTAGATCCGGAAGCGATGCTCCTGATCAGAGTACCGGTATACGGACTCTGCGATAGCGGCAGAGGATTTTGGAGGAAAGTCGACCGAGAAGCACGTGAAGTCGGCTTCCAGGTAAGCAGGATTTTCCCTGCATTTTACTTTTACCGCGCCGCCGGAAAAGTAGTCTGTGTCTTGACAACACATGTCGATGACTTTTTATGGGCATCGATAGGCAAGGGCGGAACTATCATAGATAAGCTCCTAAAGAAGTTCGAAGTAGGCCGCCGCGAGTCGGGAAGACTACGCTTCTGCGGTAAGCAATTCGACATATCTGGAAAGGACGTGTTAATCGACGTTACCGATAACACGAACAAGATCACCTACATTGATGTCAAGGCAGGAAGGAAACACTCGGATCTTATTGACCGAGGTGAAGAACGTCAACTACGTTCTGTAGTCGGCAGCCTTTCGTGGATTTCTAGGCAGGCTAGGCCAGATATTCTATACCGCGTATCGAAGCTTCAGAGCTCGATAAAAGGTGCAACTGTTAGCACTCTTCATGAGGCTAACAAAGTCCTAGAACTTGCCTTAAAGGGTCGCGACCTTAAGCTAAGATACAAAAATGGTGCCTTTGATTTCGAGAGCCTGGGCGTACTGACAGCCTCAGACGCTAGCTTTGCGGGTGAAAAGGGAGACCGATCACAACAAGGACGGATCCATTTTCTCGCTCCAGCTGCCCAGCTTCGCGATCCAAATTGTAGTCGTTACGACACAATGATCGTGTCGTTCTCATCCACCACAATCAAAAGAGTATGCAGAGCAACTCTTCAGGCTGAGACTTACGCACTCCAAAGTGCCCAAGAGGCAGGGGATCGCATAAGAGCAGCCCTAGCCGAAATCTACGGATTCGGTAGTAGTGGTCCCGATTGGGAACTTCGTGCGAGAACACAGGTTCCGCACATAGCGCTGACGGACTGCCGCAGCTTAGCCGATCACCTCAACACGGAGGCTCCGTCCCGTGTGCAAGACAAACGATTGCAAATCGAGCTTAGCGCTCTTCGCCAGTCTATCTTTACAGAAGACGGCAAGCGCACGGTTGAGGCCTACCCTGCGGGTGGAGATAGAGTGGACTGGGTCGATACAGCCACTCAAGCCGCTGATTGTTTCACAAAGTCCATGAAACCGGATTTAATCATAAAGGTGATTGAATCTGGTGAGTACAGTATTAGTCGAGCTAAGCTGTAGACGTAGATTGCAGACGCTACAATCGTGGGCATACGTTGTATGTACCATAGTAGCTGAGTCGGTGCTAGGGTAGCATGCAGACACCACTTCCGGAGGACAATGCCTATTGTACCTCATGTGGTTAATTTAGATTTTCCTCGATGTCATGGCATGAGAACAGGTTGAGTGTGAATGCACCCTCTGTTGTACATGTACAGGAAGCCATGGCCATGACATGCATGTGTTAACTGTATATATTTCCCGCTGCCGTTAGGGCCCTTGAGTCATATTCAGATAGCTTCGCAGTCGGCGAAAAGATCCACCAGTTTTCTCAAATTAGACTTGGGTTTGTATGTTTGGCGGTCTCTGTATTGGTTCCCGGGTCTTGAATCTGCACATGGGTCTTTCGCTGGGGATCAGCGTGTAGGCTTTGAAGTATAGTGTGAGTCTATAGAGTCTGAGGGCTCGGGTTTTTGAGTGTTCGGGGAATCAGTAACGACAGTATAGTGTTTGGGTTTGCAGGGGATCGGAAAGGGAGGAGCACGGAGAAGCTTATGCTTTGGTGACCTTTGGTGGACCCCCACATTGACTCAGATTGACATAGAGCTTAATGTCAGCGGTTCGGAACACAGGAAACCGCCTTGTGAATAAGGCGAGGCATTGGGCAGGCTCTTGTCGGGAGTAGATGATGTCAGAGTGATGTCAGGCCGAAGTCGACGCCTTTGTCGAATATTTCATCGAATCTGTTGCTTATGTGACACAGGCGAGCCTATGCAAGAGACCCCGGGGCTCAACGACCATTTCGTGATTGTTCAGTTTTCCACGGGCGTCGTTAAGCTGGGCCCAGTGTGCAGAAGAAGAACATCATCAATAACCCTGCTTTCCCTTTCTCTACCTTCCATGGCAGGGAATCGCTTTTCTTTGTGTCATGGCAAGATAACAGGGCGCGGTCAACCGACGGGCAAATGCTAGCCGTCGCCCGCTTCGCTGTGTAGGACTCACTGCACAGACTAATGGGGGTGGTAGGCCGCATGCAATCCGGCGGGCGCTCGTGGCCGTGCGCTCGCCCGTTGTTCGGAGAAGGGCTGACCCGGCAAGATCGGCACTGGTTCCAACGGCAATTCGCAGCACGGCGGCGCGCGACTTTGAGGGTTGAGGGTACTGCTTCACTGCGCATGCAGCTGCCTAGCGGAGCAGGTTGCAATAGGCTGCACTTGCTGACAAGATACATTTCTGCACGGTGAGCCAGAGCGAACCTTACGCTTGCAGGCGCTGCTGCGACTTTCATAATTTGTACAGAATTAAGTCAAGCCTCCGGCACACTCGAGGGATTCGCAGTGCCGCGCTGCAATAGATTCGCTTGATGCATCGGGCCACCCTTTTCTGCTTCCCTTCCTTCCCCCAGCTTTCGTGGCCCTCGTCTCAAAGTATAACATACCTTCGGTCCACGCCCTAGGTGTATGCTGTTGTCCACGGCTGTGGGTGGCGTTGGCCTGAATTTGACGGCCGCCGACCGCGTGGTGATCGTCGATCCTGCCGGGGTCATGGCTCGGTTGTGTTGTCCCCCTCCCGCCCCTCCCTTCTCCAAGACTCCAAGCGCCCTCGCCCCCCCCCGACTCTGCCCTCGCCCTCAGGCTTGGAACCCTGCAACCGATGCACAGGCCAGCTTCCGCTTTGTTTTGGACTGCTATGTCGTTCCTTTCCTTTCGAGGCCGTAGACAGGGCGTATCGCATTGGGCAGAACAAGGAGGCACGGACGAATGCGGAACGCCGTCTCACTCAAGCATGAAGAGAAGTCCTGATCAGGTGAGAGTCTACCGCCTCATCATGAGTGGCCTCATCGAAGACAAGATGTTCCGTTTACAGGCACACACGACTAGTTGCCCGATCGGCATGCGGATAGTACACATACCCAGACCCAGACACAAGCATGCAGCATGATTGCAGTTAACTCACAATTTGTTTTCAGACTTGCAGTGGCGGGCCCAAGGAACAGGTTCAGCTGCTCTTGAAGAGGAAGTCTGAAAATGGCTATGCTTCGGGGATGGATATTTCAGAGCCACGAAGGGAGCCAAGCTCAGTGACCCCCTGATGTCGTGCAGCTGCTCCGAAGTGTCCTGCAACTGCTACCTGTCGCGGAGACCAGAGCTACATGCAAGCTCGCAAAGTCGCAAACCCTCGGTGCTCTGCTCTTGGATTGCTGAATAGGCTTTGCCGCGATCCCTGACAGCCGATACTTCCGAAACCGATCGGTGCAGAGTAAGTACAGAAGCACGAGAAGAGGGCATAATTGCATGGGGCCGCTTCCATTTCTCTCGGAGGAGAATGATCTTAGTAAGCAACAGCCACCTACAGTACAGTACGATGAGCTCTGGAAGCTCGGTCGTTCTGAGCTTCTTGTTCGGTGGCATCTGCTCGGCAGATTTGGAAGCCTCTGATCCGCATTGATTACAATTACACGCAAGAAGCTGTCTTGGCACATTTCTGGAACGACTTCAGCAGCCGTGTTTAATTACGTGCTCACGGCTCCTGGATCTTCAAATGCAGCCTCAGGCTCTGGAACACTCGCACCTTCAGCCGAGGGAGCATGACAGTATCACGGCCCTCTAACTTTGACAGACGCCGTTTAAGGGCACCCCGGTTTGCGCGGGTTTGTGCACGAAGAATTCAAATTTTGGTCGAAACAAGAAGTCTACCATCATACCAGGACGCCTCACCGTGGCAGTCCTGGCCAAGTCTAAACTGTCTGGCCAAAGCTTCATGACCGTCGTGTCACACCCGAAAAATGCCGAAGATTGCCGAAGTATCATGGGGTCACTGATGCGGGGATGAAGGGCACTAGATCTGCGCTCATCTGTGTATTACCCTCGCTTGCTTTTTTCCTTCCAGTCTTGCCCAGTTCAACAAATGCCGCCGGAAAGGTGTTCAAGATGGGACTTACTCGAACTGCTCTTGAAGCTGATCAGCAGCACCGTTACTTCACGGCCTTGCTGACATGAGCTTGGAAGTTAGGCTGCCGATGCCAGAGGAACTTTTGCAAACATGTCCTGTTGCATCCCGCCGCTATTTGCTTCAGCTTCTAGGAGTTTTGTAGACCCCGCGTAACTCCCTCCAGCCGTTGCCGGCGTTTCGAGGGGCTGCGGGGTCAGGCCCAGGCGGAAGAGATGCGGCCAGGGTCTCGGCTTCGAGTCTCCGACCTTCGGCAGTTCCGGACGTCCTTTCGCAGGTTTGGAAAACTGCTAGCTGCTGTGACGCAGAAGAGCCGGGCAAACGAGCCTTACTTGTCGTACAAGGACGCCTAGCACCCGAGCCGCTGCACTCGCATCTGCTGTCGTTTTGTGACTATGAGGAGCTCAAGCACAATATCAGCAAAGTGCATGCAGCATGTGGCCTCCAGGCACGATTTTTCGAGCGGTCAAACGTGTCATCTCATGCCGGTTAAGCAGGATGACGCAGAGCAATCTAGCGGAGATGAGGGTCGCGTCCCCGATCTTCTCGCTCTTTTGTTTGGCTGGCAAACAAGCCCAGACGCTGAGGCCCTGGACTACTGGCCCAGGCGCAAGCACGTAAAGAGTGCAGAACATGGCAGCCTCAGCTTTCCACTTGCGAGGAGCGCTTGGAAAGCCAGGCGGCCTCCTCTTCCTCTTCTCACGTAGCCAGGGTCTCAGTCTATACATATCTTCTAGGGGCTGCGCCCAGGTGCGGGCAGCCCAGGTAGAAGCCTGGCCACGCTTGTGTTTTCCCCCCCCCCCCCTTGCCCTCTCAGCCCTCGTCGGCAGCCGCACCCCCTCCGCCGAACCCCGCTGATGCTCATGATGCGCGCCCCTTTGGGGCTCCCCAAACCAACTCAAAACCGGACAAAGCATAGCCAAAACATCGCCTCCGGCAAAGGCCGGTTGCGGGCTCCCGAAGGCTCATGATGCTCGCCGCCTGGCCTCCTGGGGTCGTCCACGGCGGCCCCGAAACCCGCCATACCGTGGGGAATGGCTGCAAAACGCGTGCACGTTCCCAGAAGCCTCCGGGCGAGGGCCCGCGCGGCCCGATGGAGAAACGAAGGTCCGATGAAGCAGGGTCGGCGGCACAGGCGGTCCTGGCTTTTGCTTCGCAGAAACTCCCTCCTGCGCCTGAGCCAAGCTCAGAACATATAGGGCAGCGAGCGCTGCCCGATTTAATGGCTGCCGCCAATGCCGCCGACCCCAGAAGGATGCAAGAGGACGAGCAACCCACATGGGCACTTCAATCTCGCTCCGATGCTTCGGAAGGTTTCCGGGCGGTTTGGGGTCGTTTCTGAACATGGTTGTAACAGTCCTTGAGACTTGCCTGATGCTTTTAGAGCCCATGTTGGCGCTCACAGAGAAACAGCGTGCCGGGGTTTTCAACCTAAGCCGACGAAACTCTAAACTGCTTAAACCATCAAACTGCCTAAACCCTAAACCGTGCCCTTGACTCTGCGCCTCAGCGGCTGCGATAAATCGACGCATCGACAACCGACACCACTGTGGACACCGGTTTACGGTCGCTGCGGGCGCTGTGGTAGCACTGGATAAAGGGGACATGACATTCACATACGCATGTCCCCACTGCCAAGCAAGAGTCGAGTCAACAATCAAAGACGGACGCATCGACACCCGACGCCAGTGTGGACACCGATTTATCGTCGCTGCGGGCGCCGTGGTAACACTAGAAACAACAGCATACAACAGCTACGACATACAAATACACGTGCCCGCACTGCCAGGCTAAGGTCGACTCCACCATCAAGAACGGACGCATCGACAACCGACGCCAGTGTGGACACACCTTTACGGTCGCTGCAGGCACCGTGTCCGACATACCTACGACAAACAAAACGTACGCATACAAATGCCCGCACTGCCGAGCAAAGATCACCTCACGCAGACGGGATGGCCGACTAGACAACCGACGAAACTGCGGCCACACATTTACGGTGGCCACGGGCACAAAGTCGTCGCGACTGCCGCGAGAAAGCAATGCTAACATGTGAACTCTGTTTACCGGCGCGCAGTTGCGGCAGCCCTGAAACACTCTCTAAAAACCTAGAAAATCTGAACACCTGGGACCTGTAACAGGTGAACGGTAGAGGTAGAAGAGGTGTGCGAATGATGCGGGCACGGTAGTGGGAGGTGGCGAAAAGCGGTCAGGGCGGTGGGGGCGGTGTGGGCGCGGGCGGAGGGCTCGCATTGGCGGTTTAAATACTCCCTTATAAACACCTAAGAAACAAGAAGCAATAGCAGAACGCTACAAACCCCAAATGGCCATCTATAGGCGCTAAAAACTGAGAAGCCAATGGCAACGCTGGGGGCGGTGACGGCTGTGTGGCTGCTGTGGGCGGTGTGGGTGGTGGGGTGGTGGGGATGGTGCCTTTGACTGCTCTCCAAACACCTAAGCAACAATAGCAAAACGCTACAGAACCTAGGCGCCTTGCGGTGTGGGCCGTGGGGGTGGTGTGGGCGCGGGGGGGTGCGGGCAGGCATTGGTGGCGGCCTTTAAATACTCTCTAGACGCCTAAGAAACAATAGCAGAACGCTACAGAACCCGAAAAAGCCGTCTAGGTAAAAATGGGAAGCTAATGGCAACACTGGGGGCAGTGACGGCTCTGTGGCTGATGTGGGATATGTGGGCAGTGTGGGTGGTGTGGGTGGTGGGGGTGGTGGGGGTGGTGTGGGCGCGGGGTGGTGGGGGAGGGTGGTGTGCACGGTGTGGGCGGTGGAGGTGGTGGTGGTGGTGGTGGTGTGGGCGCGGGGGGGGGGGGGGGGGGGCACGCATTGGCGGATTTATATACTTTCAAACACCTAAGAAACAATAGCAGAACGCTATACAACAGCCCCAGTGTGTTGGTGGTGAGGACGGTGCGGGTGCTGTGTGACCGCTCTGTGGCTGGTGTGGGCGGTGTGGGCCCACAGCGCCCCCACCGCCGCTTCACTGCCCACAGCGCGTCACTGCCGACACCACCCACACCGCCCACAGCGCCCTTACTGCCCGCAGTCGTTGGTATTTTTAGGATTTTTTAGGTGTTTAGATAGGGTTTATAGAGTAACTGAAGGCCGCCAATGCATGCCCGGACCCCCTCCGCGCCCCCCAGGGCCCCACACCACCCCCACCACCCCCACCATGGTGTGGGCGGTGAGGGCGGTGCGGGCGCGGGAAGGTCCGCTGTGGGCGGTGAGGGTGGTGAGTGGTGTGCCGCTGTGGACGGTGAGGCCGGTGCGGGCAGGAAAACGCAAAGCGGTGAGGGCGGTGTGGGTGGTAGAGGCGGTGAGAACGGGCAGCTTTTCTTTACTCTCTAAACACACTCCCCAAACATCGAAAACACCTCTCGGGATATCACTGGCACCGCCCGCCACAGGGGTCGGCGGATATAATAGAGTTTCATATAGTCCGTATAGCGCAGATTGCGGACGGAGCCCAAGCGCGAATCGAGGTGCAACCAACCTCGTTTGTGCCTGCTTCAGATGCTTCAGGTGTCCACCCTACGGTTTGCCTCCAAACTCGTCTTGAAGTCTGTAGACATCTGCAGACCAAGAGCCTTTCTCTGTGCCTTATGTGGTTTGTGTAATTGTAGCGTGACCAGGAGAGAGCAATGTGAAACGACGGTGTAGCCTCGTCATTCTGTTTTAGTTCAGCTGATCCTGTGGCCTTCCAGCCCAGCTGATACAAGGTGTGAGCGGAAGATAAAGAAATTGAACAAGCTTGGGTGAGCATTGCGCCTTGGGGGGGAGCCTCCTCCGTGACACAAGTGCTGTGTTTGTGAACAGCCTGAAAGGCCGCCAGCAGCTCCGCGAACCCTCGAGTCGTGGGTCCCCAGGAGGTCGGATTACATGCCCCGTGCAGCAGAGATTCTCAGACTCGTCTGCTTCATTACCTGTGCACATCCTTGCGCACAGTGTCTAGGGCTTCACGTTCGTCGGCAGGATTTCTTCAACCTCATAGACCAGGATGTCACCGCCGCGAAGCATATGCCTCAAAGCCATCAAGTCTCGATAAAGCCAATAAACGGACCGCTGTGTCCGAAAGATTCCTGGCAGTGTGCTCGAAACGTGAGGAACAGCTTGCTTCGACTCGACTTCGGTGGCTGGCAAGTGTAGTGATGATCAGTGATGAGAAGCTTCTTAAGCGATTGCTGCACGCCCACCAAGTCGCGCCAGAGTCGACTACATTGAACTGCTGTGTTGTGTCGAAACCATGGGATATCGGAAGGACAGTCTGCACGCCATGTAGTTCTAAAGCCTTCTTGAGATGCACACATTGTTGCGGGAACAAGCCGATGCAGCGCATGAATAAGCCAAAGTAGTCTGCAAAGGCCAGAGCCTGTTTGTCCTGTCGCTGAACTTGCGATGAGCGTGCGTCCGTGTGCGCCGTTAGAAGGTCGCACAGCCATTCGTTCACAAGCCTTTATGAGAGGCCATTTGGAGAGACGGCAGTGCTTCGTCAGTACGAGCGAATCTTATGTTTCTTTTTGCTGCCGGGTTCGCTACCAACAATACCATGGCTGCAGAGCTAAACTCGTGGCGACATCGCCCTTGTTAAGAAATATGTATGAGAAGGCTGCAGCATGTGTCTGTGGAAGGACCAACATGCAACATCAAGAGTACTGCATTCTGAGGCTCTATGTGCAGAGCACCGTTTCTGGCCTTGAAGCCATGCTCGGTGAGTTCCAGGCCCGGAGGACACGTGGGGGAAGCGTGCCAGTGGGTTCTGGCAGACAGCGGTCGGTGAATGGTTGGTGGCAGGTCGCAGCCGTAAAGGCTGGTCTGCTCTTCACTCCGCAGCAGCTTGAGGAGGCCGACAGAACTGCCGGTGGCCTGCCTAGTGCCTAGGGACATGTCTGGACTTGTGAGGTTTCAAGACAGCTGCCTGCTCCCATGGATCAGGCAGCGACTGCTTCAGATGTCAGCATGTGCCTCTGTGATGTCACTGCGCAAGGAAGCATTGGTGGTCTGGCTCTCAGTCGGCGGTGCTGTTGCATTGCATCAGCACTTGTTTGTCAGCCGAATCTGCAAGCGGATGGAACTCAAAGCTGTTCTTCTCGTAGAGAGTCTAGAGTACCTCATTCCTTGAGGAATGGTTGCTCTCGCTGCGACCCGGTGCAAAGACCCGGGAAGAGAGATGTTGTCTCGTTGAGAAGTGCGCATCAGCCTCCGTTGCCTTTTCCTGGGTGATAGGATGTGATAGGCAGAAGTCATCAGGCTGTGCTTGGCCAGAATGCTGAGCGAGTAGGTCCGTTTGCTGTTGTTCTGCTCAAACTGCAGAGGAAAGCAAGACTAAGCATCTTGCAGTAGCTCAGCCGCGGAGGACGGTAAGCCTGTTCACGGAAGGGCCGTGTGCGTCCTCCTTGCGGCGAGCCTTCCACTTTCCGTAGCCACACCCCAAGCACAGCACCAGCACAGCATGCTCAAGACCGCAGAAGACTGCATCGACACCTCCGAAGAGGAGGAGGCTCGAGATTGGTGCACGAGGTCTTCTCGCACCTGCTGGGCTGCTGTGTACTCGTGACTTGGAGGTCGATGATGACGAGCTGCCCGGAGGCCCGACATGTTGTTGCTCTGCCTGAGCGAGACCTCGGGCCTGGTGACCTAAAGGGGAAAACATTGGATTTGCCCAGGGTGCAGCAAAGGACGAATGCAGTGCGGTAAGAAGGGGATACCGATGCTTTTTGTGTTTCCGTGCTTGGTCTCGCGACTTCGACTGCGAGACTCAGCAGCCGACTGCTCTCCCTGTCAAAACTCTTTCCTGCAGGATCCCGTGGGTGGAGGGTGTGGTTTGTTGAGTTGTCGTGGCATCGGCTCAACGTCAAACGCAATCCTGTTGACGCGACCTCCAGCTTGCAGATCACTTGCTGCAAGTGCATCTTCTGACGTGTTTATGTGCTGTACCCGGCATTGACAACGACAGCAGCACAGGGATGCAAGGCACGCAGATTATGTGCTGTTTATTCTTCATCTTCGCACCGATGTCCCATCCCTTGCTGTCAAGTCGTTCCTGTTCGCACAACGGGTTCGCGTGGGGCAGCTTGTTGCGCCATTCGTTCCAGACTCCTTTGCCACAGGCTTTCCTCGCAAGTTAGGAGTCTCCACATGGGTTTTACAAAACGTTTGCCTGTGTGGTGGTCTACGAAGCAACGCAGTATTAACCCACTCTGCCGCCATATCAGGCGGGCCTTACGCCACGCTGGCAGCCGAAGGCCCTAAGGCGGCCAGACTGAATCAGAACAGTATAGAAGTTAGACGAGGCGGCTAGTGGAGCAGGATCCAGAGTGTGGTGGTAGCTCGAAGTCGGTGCGAGCACAGGAGTCTATGGGCAGCATCGGCCATCCCGACCAATGCGTCCTGGCTCAAGTCGGGGATAGGCTTCCTAGTTTCCTCGATTGAGTTTCGACCCTGCCATATCGCTGCATTAAACCCCAAATTTGCCGGATTGCTGAGGCACTCCGTGCACGTTTTATTGCTTCACTCGACGTGGTTGCAATCGTGGCGCCGACTGCAAGCAAGAGCCTCAGTGTAGGAGCTGAGCCGAGAAGCTGACGGTTGACTTGGTTCCCAGACTTGTGAAGATTGTGAAGAAAATGGTTTGAAAAGCTAGAAACACTCGCCAGAAGTCTGAAAATCGATCAGCGTTTGGGAGAGGTTTTGCCACATGACGCATCAGTCGAAGCTGCAGCAGCGCGCGCATCTCAATCTTCCGGGATGCTGCAGTTTGTGCTGGTAGCACCTAGCCGCGCCATAGGGTTAGTCCCTGTCGTGCCTCGTTCCAAGGTAGGGAGGCATGGAAGAAGCAGCAAAGGGAGAAGAGAAAGCTCATGCGCGGTTTCGCCCACAAGGAGCGTCTCGTGTGTTTCAGTGCTGTAAGTCGCACGCTCAATGAGCTCCAGTGAAGTTGATTGCTTTTGGCAGGAAGATGCACCACCTGCTGTGCAAGAGACTCCCCAACCGAGGCGGTGAAGTGGAAGTGCTCGACTGGGGCTCTGAGGATCCACCAGCAACCACCCCCGAGCCCCGGGATTGGCGTGACGACGAGCTATACGACGTGCTGTTTTGATCGGGATTACGCCTTTATAGGACCCCCAGCAAGAAACAGAGAGCGGGGAGCGTCTTCGAATCGCAGAAGTAGCCTCCATCATCCTCCATCACGACACTCCTGAAACATCCTGGTGGAAGCTTCGTATGTTGCTTCGAGTGCGGACTTAGATGATGTATATCAGCAGGCGGATGTTCGCACACTACCATCAAGCCTGAAAGAGCGCACACCTTCGCACAGGAGGGATTCCAGGATGCGCGTCGTGCTCGAGTTTTTGAGTTCTCTCGAGGGAAGCATAACCTTCCTGCACAGGTCTGGAGGAAAGGGGAAGAAGCTGGAGGGACAGGCTGGCCATTCATCTGGATGTGACATGTAACAAGCTGTACTCCTTGACCGATTCTTTGCAAATGAATTCATCCAGGCACCTATCAGCCATCAGATATGACTCCGATTCAGTTGCCGTGAGGCAAAGCCTGCTTTGGGTGCCGGTGGCATAAGCAATGTGAGATCTGTGGTCTTCACGCAGCTTGGCCAACTGCAGTCCTTGTCTTGAGTTCACTGCGAGTGCCGACCTGTGCGGCAGCCCCGCCTCAGGTATACACCTTCACGAGTGACCCTTACCATGGGTCAGCAAACTGACATCCGCCCAGCCCTTTTCGGCCCGACTGCCACGAGGCGCAAGAGTTGAACTTCGGGATGCAATTCGCAAGAGTTTTCTGGCCAAGTGCAGGCGCTTTGCGTCTCTCGGTCGGCTGCCGGAAGGGCCCGGCACCTAGAAAATGCTCCGAACTTCATGCTTTCGTTGCAGTGTAGGTAGGTTGTCGCCTTGTAGCATGCATAGGTTTGAGGCTTGTCCAGTTTACAGCAGCTTTCGAAGCTTCGCGACGGAGGGAGCTTGAAGCCGGACAATGGGAAACTTTTTGGACACACGACTTTGCAATATGTTGGAATGGAATCGCAACCGGCATGAGCGCCCTTCCTGCCTTGCAGGCCACTGAGCTTGAATCAGCTCAAGAATCAGGCACTTCACTGAATCAGACCTTGACCATGCCATGCACTCGACTTTCAGAACTACACCGTTTCACAGTAGTCGACGTTCGCGACTGCATGTCAACAAGCGCTTGGAATGAATAAATACCAACACGGATAAATTCAGCACGCCAGCTCTAGAGAGGCAAGAGGCGAGCATCCTAATCATCAACTTCTGTGCGGTTGAGGGGTTCAAGGTCGAGCCCCTGCTTGGAAGCTCCCAGGCTTTCCCTGGATCCCATGACAGGGACAATCAGCGGCACGCCGCTGAATGGAAGCCCGTGGGCCGCCTTGCTGCATCGAAGGGCAAGAGTTTACTTTTCGGCTGGACTTTTTGGGGAGAATAGTGCCGCAGGGCTTCTGTGTCGAACGTTTCGGGCTCAATGAAGCCTTGACTCCCGGCACAAGCCTAGGAAGTCTACACCATCCAAGCCTGTGGCTCAGTGCTGCCTTTCCTCATAAGCCTTTCGGCATTGTTGCCCTGTGCTGCGCCCCCAGGTAGAGATGATGGATGGGCAAGTGGAGCCAACCTTAGCTGTTGAGCATGCATCTGTCGTTACGAGCATGTTCGAGCCCGTGTGTGTATCATATATTCATGTATAGTGTGTATATGTATATACATATATAGAGGCACATTATATGCATGGCACGGTATGGTATGGTACGTACGTATGTGCACACGTAGGTTTGAATTCATACTTGCACGTACCTGTGTGTGGGCACCCCGAGATTAGAAGGGTAAGTGTAGACTGCATTACATTGCGCTCGGAAACAGCGGCCAAGCTCCCCTGAACTCGGTCGCCTGGTTAACACGATAAGCCCGACAAGCTCGATAGTTCCGGAAAGCACAGCCAAGCCAGAAATCCCGACTCCATCGGCGCACCCCGCCATCAGCCCTCGCATGATCCCCGTCAGCCCAGCGGTTGAAATCATAGAAGTTCGGCACCCCGTCAATCCTCGCATGCACTCCATGAGTCAACGACTTTATGAGTTCTGATTTAAACATCAGCGGTGCCCCATCAGTCCAAGGCCTTACGGTATACATCAGCAACCCAGAAGAATTCCTTCGGGCAAGATGGCCCGGGCATGTGCGAAGACTACTTGAAATAGCATTGGTCTGCTAGGGATAGCGTTGGCTAGGCACTTTTAGACGTGGAGGATGGGAAGCAAGAAACTGCAGGCACTGCCCGGAAACTGCAGGGTGCAAGGAGCGAACTGGAATTGGGGCTGCCAGTGGACTGGAGGTGTGCATGGGACTGCCGGGAGACTGCAGCGGCGATTGCAGGCTGCAACAACCACGAAAAGCATGATTGCGCCGATTGTGATGGAAGCGTGCCCATGCCGATGACACTGAACTACAACAAATGCGTGGCACACATGCACCTATCATCGCGCATCTACCTTTTCCACACCTTTTGCCTTATTTGCTTTCGAACCACATGCGAGAAAGACTTACTCAAAGTAACAAGTTCGCAAACAAACATGCGGTGTGCAAGAGCACAGCGGAATCAAGAACGGATACACCCGTCACGTGCTTGGACAGTCGGGGCAGGCTCGGCAACGAGGTTACGCTGTCGAGCAAGTTTTGGAGATCAAGCCTTTCATCATGCTGACGCAGCAACATCTTCCTCCTCGTAATTGAAAAGATCGCCGCAGCGCACGTCATTGGTCTTGTCATGAACACCGGCACTGGTAAATGCACCTGGCACTGCAGCCAAAACTCTTGCTCGCGGTGAGGTCAAAATCGAGTTAGCACGCCACTCCACTGGCATGCCCAGCGCCTGGAGTCCAGCTTGACGGTCCGCCACCGACAGGTTTTGAAGTTGCTCAGCAAGCTCGTGCGACGTCGGATGAGCCTCACGCTTGCCATGAAAGCTTCGACTGCATTCTTAAGCTCACGGATGCTCTCCATCGCGGTAATCAGCGGTGCGATCTCTGGCGAGAATCATTTTGAAACTTCACATTTGCATCCTGGGGCCTCTATGGCTTTCTTCCCACACGGACCAAGTGCTGAACTATGTCCCGTACTGCTCGCTGGATTGCTTCCTGCGTCACATGTTTGCTCTGACGTGTGGCCTGACCATCGAAGTACTGCAAGAGCTCCGTAATTGAATCAAAGGCTTCAGCATGATGGGAATCATTCTTATTGCAGCTGGCCATCGCTTGTAGCGGAAAGCTTCGCAGTGATGTCCGCATATGCAACAAGGGTGATCTGCGCGAACCTTGTCAAGCATAGCGCACGGTTGTGAAGTCGTGCAGGTCGTGCTCAATTTGTCATGGGGAACTTTGGGACCTCCACGAGCTGAAGCTAAAATGTTGGAAGGTCCTCGCCACATGAACATCGCCCTGCATTGAAAGCGGTCGGGCGTTGTAAAATCTGCGGGCACGTTCATCAGGGACAGTCAGTGCTGCATCATGGTACACACTCCGGGGAAGGAAATGATCACCCGCAGACATTATCACTCGTTTTAGCTTACATACCACAATATAGCAAGTATCGTAAAGCAGACAATCCAAAAGCGAGTGCGAGAGGACTTCCTGACGAGCAGGCGATCATCCATCCGTCGAGCAACACATAAACATAGACGGGTGTTTTGGCGTAGTAGATGAGGTAAGCTAGCGAGGCGGTGCCTTTTTGCCACATGCGAAAGACTGCAACAACTCCTGACATGGGACTGCGCTGATTGCAACCATTAGCAGAAGTATAGCCAACACTCCCAAACACTTTAAACAGAAAACAAGCATATTTCCAGTCTGGTGCAACAATGTACGGCAGATCAACGATTGCAAGGCAGTAATAATGTCAGATTCTTCAGGGTGCACCGACTTTTCATTCCTGGACAGTCAACATAAAGCCAAGAAGGTGAATTGGGACAGCCTTTGCATGGGATGCATGCAACCCGCGGAAAAAAGTTTTGGCTGAATTGCTCAGTTCCAGCGCAATTTAAAACAACGTGCAATTCCAGTGGCCAGATGATCTGGCCAGATGTGGCCACTGTGCCAGCACACACTGCTGCAATACACTGTGCTGGTAATTGCTCACCACGATGGTCAGATTTCAGTAGAAGACGTGTCTTTTCCCTATAAGCACGCCATGAGATGCCATGAGACTGTGCGGATTGGTTGCATGGAAAATTGGATGCAGTTTCTAGTAGCTGTTGCGCAAGTGGACCGGACCCCGATCCTGTTTATTCCCGAAAGCGTCGCGAAGGGTTCTTCCGTGCGGAGCCGGGTAGACAAGTGCATGACCTTATGACTTGACACTTGAGTCTACGACTCTATGACTCTAAGACCGAGCTTGACTACTCTATGACTCTATGACTCTATGAACTTGAGAACTCTGTGACTTACTCACTTGACTACTCTATGACTCTGTGACTTACTCTGTGACTTACTCTGTGACTTACTCTTGACTTACTCTGTGACTTACTCTGTGGCTTACTCTCTGACTTACTCTCTGACTTACTCTCTGACTTACTCTCTGACGTACTCTCTACCTCTCTATTACTCTCTGACTTACTCTTTGACTTACTCTCTACCTCTCTACATACTCTCTACATCTCGGTATCTAATCTCTCTTCTAAAGCCAGGGGTGGCACCGTCGTCGTCCATCGGGAATGCAACCCTTCACAGGGATTGGCCACCTCGAGCGCCCAAACGCTAGGTAAAGTGACACATTTTAGGCGCGTGGGTGAACCCTTCACAGGGATTGGCCACCTCGAGCGCCCAAACGCTAGGTAAAGTTACACATTTTAGGGTTCCCGCGCAACCCTTCCCAGGGATTCGCCTGGGCGAGCGTCCAAACGCTAGGTAAAGTTACACATTTTTTAAATTAATGCGGTGCCCGTGCAACCCTTCACAGGGATTGGCCACCTCGAGCGCCCAAACGCCAGGTAAAGTTACAAATTTTTCGGGCGCCGTGAACCCTTCACAGGGATTGGCCACCTCGGGCGTTCAAACGCGAGGTAAAGTTACACATTTTTCGGGCGCCGCGCAACCCTTCACAGGGATTCGCCTCCTCGGGCGTTCAAACGCGAGGTAAAGTTACACATTTTTCGGGCGCCGCGCAACCTTTCACAGGGATTCGCCTCCTCGGGCATTCAAACGCGAGGTAAAGTTACACATTTTTTTAACTTAATAGGCGCGCCGCGCAACCCTTCACAGGGATTGGCATGGTCGAGCGCCCAAACGCGAGGTAAAGTTACTACTTTTGATGCGCTTCGAGCCGCAATTTGCAACCCTTCACAGGGATTGGCGTGGTCGAGTGCACGAACTTGCAACCTTTCACAGGGATTGGCATGATCGAGTGCGCGAACGCGAGGCAAAGTTGCTACTTTGAAGCGCTTTTAGGTGCATTGAAGTGCAATTTGCAACCTTTCACAAGGATTAGCATTTCGCAACCCTTCACAGGGATTGGCATGGTCGAATGCACGAACGCTAGGTAAAGTTGCTACTTTTGATGTGCATTGAAATGAATTTTGCAACCCTTCACAGGGATTGGCGTGGTCGAACGCACGAACGCGAGGTAAAGTTATTACTTTTGATGTGCATTGAAGTGAAATTCGCAACCCTTCACAGAGATTGGCGTTGTCGAGTGTTCGAACGCGAGGTAAAGTCAACACTTTTGCTGTAATAGTAGTAATAGTAGTAATAGTAGTAATAATAGTTATTGTTGTTCTAGGAGTTAGGAGCAATAGTAGTATTAACAGCAACAATAGTACCAGCAGTAATAGTAGTAATAGCAGTAATAGCAGCAATAGTAGTAATAGTAGTAATAATAGTAATAGTAGTAATAGTAGTAATAGTAGTAATAGTAGTAATAGTAGTAATAGTAGTAATAGCAGTAATAGTAGTAATAGTAGTAATAGTAGTAATAGTAGTAATAGTAGTAATAGTAGTAATAGTAGTAATAGTAGCAATAGTAGATGGTAATAATAATAATAGAGAGTGTAAGACATTACGGGCCCCATATTTTCCAGTCAAAATGCTGTTTTCTAAGAGTTTTCATTACAAAAACTTACAATCGTCATAATTTGCATACTAGTGGTTTTCAAGCTTACTTAACCCTGTTGCTCTTGATGCCTGATATGGGAAATAGTTTTCCAATCAACATGGGATGCACGTGTGACTACCTTTCATTGTGGAGTCTCATGAAGACTATCCGATAAATCAATGCCACTTCAATCTTGTGGTTGTTCTTTGTGTCTCATAGTATAATCTTGCAGATAAATGAGATACAATGCGTCTGCGAAACCGTGCATTTCTCCACCCTTGAATGATGTACAAGACCGGTCAATCTATATAACTTTTGTATATCAACGTAAAGAATCACTTACATATCCTACCGGTTTTTGCAGGCCCCATCATGTGCATGGTAACATATGATT